ACAGACAAAAATGCTCATGAGGCTTTTCAGGCAGGGGTGAGTGAGTTACTTCTCTGCCCTGTGGGAGCTTTGAGGCACCTCTCCCGACCACTGGAGGACCATGTACATAGAATGAAGTTTCCAAACCATATACTTACATTTCACAGTAAGCCAGCATCTGCTAAAATGCGTGCTGTAGTTGATATAATCGTGTTTATGATACTTCCTTTAAAAACATGCTCATTATTTTCTGAACACCTATCCTATATAGAACACCAGCATATGAGGAGGCCAGGAGATCAGTTGCTGATCAGAAGAATTTAGCTAAAATGCAGCAGCAGTCCAAGGGTCTGTGGACAGACGAATGGATAAGCACAATGTGGCCTATTCATTCAATGCAGTATTATTAAGCGTCAACATGAATGAGCCTTGAGGACATGCTGAGTGAAATCAGCCAGTCACACCAACAAAACGACCCCACCAAATACTGTACGATTCCTCTTATGTGAGTACTTAGAGGAGCCATAGAGACAGATGTAGAACAGTGGTTGTCAGGGGCTGGGGGAGAGAAAAAGAGGGAAGTTATTGTTTAATGGGGGCAGGGTTTCCATCTTGCAAGATGAAAAATTCTGGAGATGGATGTTAGCGGTGGTTGCACAGCAATGTGAATGTATTTAATATCACTGAACTGCATTGGTTAAGACATTTAATTTTATGTTATGTGTTTTTTACCACAATAGCAAAATTAGAAAAAAAATATAGTATGGTTAAAATATTACATGTACAGCAACAAATTACCAGGCATATCTCTGGTATGCTTAACTTTATAGTATGTCTCACCAATGGAGAAGGTAGCATCTCAAAATTAAATTTATTAAAACTGCTTAGTACCTCAAATGTCATGAGAAAGAAAGTTTATATAGACAACGAGATATTGGAGAAGCATATAAAATGAGATAATGGAGAAATAAGCATTGAAATTATCATGTAAACAGGACATGTAACTGTTCTATAACAAATCAGTGTATTCTAGCTCCTTTATTAGGATTAACAATTAAGAACATTCAAACTTGAACTATTTTTACTTGAGGAAATGGTTTGGGTTTGGTTTGTTTTTATGCCCAAACGAAGGTGCCAAAGGCGGGGTCGGGGTCGGGTGGCAGAACGACCAGGACTATCTGGGTTGAGGCCACAGACTCTGCATGACCCTGAGACACTGAGCGAGGCGGAGGGAGGCTGTGAGGCCCTCTCCCGGCCGAGGACCATAATGAAGGGCCTGTCACTCAGGCGGGCCCGGCGAGAGCAGTGCATTCAAACCTCATCCCTGGTCACTGTTGGAGAGAAACTCAGTGAAAAAGAAGTAAACGCTGCTGATGGTCTTTGTTCACTCACCAAGCACTTACTGAGCACCTGCAATATGCCAGGCACCGTCCTAGGGCTGCAGAGGCGACTAAGAAATAGCTTCTTTGCTTGATGCACTCATGAAGTAGCTCAGGGGCTGCGGACGTTAACTCGTTGCAATACTATGCGAAAGGGTAGCTGTGTCACATAAAAGGGATCCGCCAGCTCTGAGCCAGTGTCGCAGGGACGCTGGTGTTGGGTCTGGAGAGACAGTGGTGCCGAGAGGCTGTGCGCACGGCCACTGCCCAGGCTGCACGTAACGGTTGCTTTGAGAGTCCAAATTCATGATTCCCGTTGGGTCTGGAGAGACAGTGGTGCCGAGAGACGTAACGGTTGCTTTGAGAGTCCAAATTCATGATTCCAGGGAGGCTATTTACAAAGGCATACCGATGATGAAGGCTTGAGGTGCAAGTCACAAAAACTCCAACACAAACTCGTGAAAGACTAATGGAACTTATTAGTCAGGTGATCAGAATTTCAGAAATGCAGTGGCCCGCTCCTCCCGCTTTGCTCCCTGCCATCCTGTCTCACGTTACCTTGGAGTCGGTGACATAAGACCATCCCTCAGGCTCTCTCAGGGGGTAAGGTCATCCTCTAGAAGCCAGAATCTGACTTTCCCATTGGTCTCATGGGCCTTACGAGTTCTACAAGGGGCCACCACATTGATTGCTGGATCCATCCATGGCAAGGGGATTGGAGAAAGGGTGGCTCCACTAACGGGAGACCTTGTCCCACTAACCCACTGGCAAACAGGAGTGGCCATGTAGGTCTGTTGTCTTCCGGAGAGATGCGAGCACACCTTGACCAGTTAGGCAAGATCTCCTCATTAGTCCTCACCTCTGAGGACTGTGTTAACTGGGAAGGCACTTAGTCTTGAGCCCGTGTCCTAGTTTCCTGAAACTGATGCTAGGGTTTTGCTTCCCATTTTGCCCTCCATATACTTCAGTAACTATTCCACCTATGAATACATTGCATTATAAATTTCCTCTTTATATGTGTTCATCAAAAGACATTCTTTAGCCTACTTACGTTATAAACTTGTGGTGCCAAAACACCAACCTTTAAAAAAAATTTTTTTTCCATAAAGACATGGTTTGAATAAATATTTCTTTGAAGAATATTTAACAAGGCTGATAACAGTATGCAAAAATAGAGACACACTCATAGATAGAGAGCAGGCTGACAACTGTTGGTGGGGGTGGGGCTGGGGGCGCCAGGTGGGAGAGCGGAGGGATTGAGGAAAAAAAAGGAGAAAAACCCCTAGACAGGGAGGACAGTGTGGTGATTGCTGCGGGAGATGAGATGAGGGCAGGTGGAGGAGGGTAAGGGGAGATAAATGGTCATGGACTGAGACTTGGCTTGGGGTGGTGAACACACAATACAGTGCAGAGATGATGTGTTATAGAATTGTGCCCCTGAAACCTGTATAATTATATTAAACAGTGTCACCCCAATAAATTCAATAAAAAGAAAAAAAATTAAATAGTATGAATATTATTCTAGTTTTCCAGCCGTCTTCAAAACAACTGGTGCTTGGAGCTGAGACATAAATCTACAGCCTTGGAATATAGCCCTTGTTTTATATATATATATATTAGAGGCCCGGTGCACAAAAATTTGTGCATTGGGGGGGTCCCTCAGCCCAGCCTATGCCCTCTTGCAGTCTGGGACCCCTCAGAGGATGTCCACCTGCTGGCTTAGGCCTGCTCCCTGGGGGATCGGGCCCAAGCTGGCAGTCAGACATCCCTCTGGCAGCCCAGCAGCCCTCGGGGGATGTCCACTTACCAGCAGGGAGCAGACCTAAGCTGCAGTCGGACATCCTTAGTGCTGCTGAGGAGGCGGGAGAGGCTCCTGCCACCACCGCTGTGCTGGCAGCCATCAGCCTGGCTTGTGGCTGAGCAGAGCTCCCCCTGTGGGAGCACACTGACCACCAGGAGACAGCTCCTGCATTGAGCATCTGCCCCTGGTGGTCAGTGTGTGTCATAGTGACCAGTCATTCCCAGTCGTTCTGTTGTTAGGGTCAATTTGCATATTACCCTTTTATTATATAGGATAGAGGCCTGGTGCATGGGT